CAGGGACCCTACAAATGGAATTTGAGCTTTCATTGCCATCGATCACCTCCTGCAAACCAGTTGCCCAGAATTTACACTCTGATACAATTCCTTCTAGATTTTGATTTTATTATTTACCGTCCTTAGGTCACACATGTTGGTGTGCTTCTTCCACAGAGATTTAGTTAATGCCTCACATAAGTGGCTGTTAGTTTTAAGACAAGTCTTTGAGACCCCAGATTCTATTCTTTCTGACAGCCAGGAACCCATTTGATTTCTTCACCACATTTTGCTATAGCAACCATATCTTCCATGATTTCTTCATAAGAGCAAGTCTAGATTAGGGCCATGCCGTAAGAACTACAGACCCATAATGCCACACCACATGGTTTTCTGTATTTCGGTATAAAAACCCAGGATTGGTGAACCCATAAGGACAACAAGTAGAATAAGGGTTTCGCGGGGGCAGTGAAAGGGAGACTATGTCAAGGAGTCCAGGAAGAAAAAGAATGTTTGGAAACTGATTGTGGTGGCAATTGTACTATTATGCTAGATGTAGTTGAACTATGAAATTATATGATATATATATCCCAATTAATAATAATTTTTTTAAAAAGAATGAAAATAAAAGTTCTTAAAAATAGGGAAAAAAGAAATATAGAATTACTGGAGATCAAACAACTAGAATAGAATCACTACGGTCACATCATGTGAAGTCAATTTTTCAAACGATTGAAGTTACAAAGTATTTTACATAGTGATAACTGCTTCAGTTTTCGACTTTTCTTTGCCAAAGTAGAACTAATCAAAGTGTAAGGGTTATGTCTTATTTAGCTGTCAGCCGTGATCATAATTTTTATTGGACGTCAATATTGGTACCAGTAGTATTTCTGGGCTTACTGGTTATTTTAAATTTAGTAAGTATTATCTTTTCTCTTTCAGTTTTCCTTCAGGTACCTGCAGTAAAACAAATTCTTACTTAGTCCGTTGCTGGAGCAACCTTAAAATAACATTTTTGATTAGCTGTCTAAATAACAAAAATCCTAAAAATTCTCAACTATACTACTGAATGAACTCCAGCCACCACCTCCACACACACACACACACACACACACACACACACACACGGCACACACAGGTAAATATAAATAAATAAATAAATAAATAAATAAATAAATAAATAAATAACAATAATGACAGTTTTTTGTCTCCATTCATATCTAGTCATTCTAAACCACTCTTAGCTTGAGTGCCTGGATTTTTAGCTGAACACCAATATTCTTTGATTTTATGTAAGTAAAATGTGGAAGTGGTAGAGGTAACTTGATAATTTAATAGCTCATAGAAAAGACGTGTCTAAGTGTTAAAAAGTAGGGGGGAGAAGCCTTCAATTGTATCTTCAAAAGAAAATAATTAACTACAGACAGAAATGTTAGGGATCTCGTTTTCCGGAACGAGGCTCACTTACAGGTGGCCTAGAACCCTGGTGGCACAATGGTTACGTGCTCAGTTGGGGACCCAAAGCTCTGCAGTTCAAATCCACCAGGGCCTTCATGGGCACAAAGATCTAACTATCTGTTTCCATAACGGTTTCAGGGAAGGACTCTATGGGCCAGTTCTACTCTTGTCAGACAGGGTCACCGCGAACAGGAATCAAGTCAACAGCCTACAAAAACTGAGGCATCAGAGATTAAAGAAAATAGGAAAGAATGAATTGTATCTACTCAGAACAGATCTCAATCCACCCAGAATCAGCCCCAACTTCATTGGAAACGCCCTGCTGAACTGACACTTTGAGTGAAATTATTCAATGCAAACATTTCACCCTTTGAACACAGTATCATCATTGGTCAGATCAATTATTTTCAAGATAATCACAGCAGGGAAATGACTAAAAGTTGTACGCGTAATCATCTTATTTTCCCTTTAACATTTAGAGATGGATATGTTGATATTATTGTCGTGCAAAGCATACATCGCAGATAGAAAACATAGAGTACGGGTTGCAATCCCGAGAAACTTGGCCAGAGAAGTAAAGCAGTCACCTGTGTTCTGAGCTGGGTTCAGATTTGGTTTACACTGGCAGCGGTCACGAACGCTGACAGCAGTGCCAGATTCTTGATGGAGTTAGCAGTGAGGCCCAGCACTGCTCACTGCACTGACCAATTTGGTTTCCAGGACACAACTGGAGCTCATTCTCATGCAAATTAGAGACTAATTGGTAAGGGCGGCATATTCTACTTATTTCAACAGCTCCTAGCTGAATTCAGAAGAGTGTTTAGGAGATTAGGGAAACGTGAGGCCGGTCAATTCTATAGCAGTTGGTTGGTTGGTTCAGTGTCTAAAGCATTGCCATGAGTCAAATTCGATTTATAGTGACCCCATGTGTTTCTCAGTAGAACTGTGTTTCATAGAGTATTTTTTTGTTGTTTTTCAAAAGTGCATCACCAGGCCTTCCCCTAACCCCCACCCTCCACCCCTGAGAAGCATCGGGGTACGATTTGAACCTCCAGCGTTTTGGTTAGCAAAAATCCATTTTAAACATTTCCCTCACCCAACGACCCCTCCTACAGTTTAGGGATTCTTATACATTATTCATGATTAAGAGGCTATTGTGGGAGAGGTTGAGAGGAAATGAGAAGCTAATAACAAAATAAGAAGATTTTCTAAAATTGATGGTGGTACTAATTATACACTTCTTAATATGATGGAACTATGGCATCGTATGCTTGGATTATGATCCAATAAAACTTTTTATAAAGGAAAAATAAAAGAGTAAACACTCTACCTCAGATAATTTGTTATCCTAAGAAGAGAATCTAGAAAATTCTCTTTCCTCTGGAAGGTCTAGGTAGAATCCTTCTTTTCCCTGAATGTCCATTCACTGCTTGTGTTGTTACTTGCCTTTGAGTCGATGCTGACTCATCCTGACCCCAGGCATGAAGCTAAGAACTATGCTCTCGAGCAGAGGGAGGCAAACTGCAGCTCAAGAGCCATATGCAGATTTTTCTGTATGTATATGTGGCTCTGAGGTAAAATTGAAAAAAAATTTTAAGGATATTATTCAGATAATGTGGATTTCACTTGTCTGTAAAAATATATTTATGGCTCTTGAATACTTTCTCAATTGTTGTGCCAGACAGGATTGGCTCTTCCATCTCAAAAGTTTGCCACCTCCTGCTTTATAGGGTTATCAAGGGCCTGTCTTCGGAGGTGCCTCATGGAGGGGTTCAAAGCATCGTCCTTTGAGCTAGCAGTCAAGCACTAATTTCTGGTGCCACTTAGGGACTCCCCCTACTATTTCCGTGCCCCTATGTCCTCCCGGAAAGGTGAAAGAGACTGTTAAAGGCTTGCACTTATCAAATGCAAGACCTCAGAAACCAACGGTGCATGGTCAGCTTGGAGAGGAGAAAATGGCAATGCCTCATCCACCAATGATTTATGTCCACTTCCGGCTAAACGCTGTGTGATAGAACAGATGGGTTTGATTATGTTAAAAAGCATATAAAAGTAATCTCAATCAACATGGAATTCAGATTCACTTTGACGATTCATTCATTTAGTCCTAGGGAGTCTTTATAATACACCAAATCTCTGTTTAAAAAAAGACAAAGAAATACTAACCTTTAACATCAAGCTTTAAACTTCTTGACTGAGAGCCAACTTCGTTTTTCGATTCGCATTCATAAACCCCTGCATCCTCTAGCTGGGCTTCGCGTATGGTGTATGTGCCACCTATAGATTTCAGAGTCTTGTCTCCAGTCTCTGCTTTCTTCTTCAGGATTATCCACGTTTCCGTCACGTTTCTACATGTGCAGGAGATGGTGACAGTGTCACCTTCCTGGACACTCTCAGAAGGAAAGGCTGTAAGTTGTATGTCTTTTGGTGGAACTGTGAAGAGAATTTTAAAACCGCTGTTGATTAAGTGAAATATAAACCAATTCCATATTACCTTAATGACAGAAACTAAAACAGCCTAGGAGCTAATTATGTATACTGTTTGCATTAAATGCTTAGAAGGTTGAGTTAAATAGCCAAGCATTTGCTTGATTGTGGCAATTGAGTGGGTCTTTAAGAAAAGGAAAATATGTCTGATACTTCTCTCATATCCCTTAATTTAATTCTTCAGCCACTCTTAATTTTTTTAACAGGGTGTTTAATAGAAATACAGGATTAAAATGTGAAGACTAGGATCAAGTTTTCTATGACTCAGGGAGGTTTCGGGGTTGGGGGGAGAGTGGTAGCAGAAAGTTTTCCTTGAAGTCCAAAGCCCTTTCCCTCCAAACCCACTGCCATCGGGTCAAATCTGGCTCAGATCAACCCTCGAGTATAGAGGACTGCCCTTTCCGGTTTCAGAGACTTTAAATCTTAAAGGAGTAGACAGCCTCGTCTTTGTTCCACAGAGCAACTAGTGGGTTAGAACTACTGACCAGCCTTGTGGATAGCAACTCAATGTGTAACCCATTACCCCACCAGGGCTTCTTAAGTCCTTTACAGACTGAAATTTTGAGCTAGAGCCTCCAAGATCAAGAAATGAAGCTACGTAGAGATGACTTCCTTTCTGGCAGTAACAACCACAACTGTGTTTACAACTTGCCAAGTAGTTGGTGACATACGGTATCTTCATTAATACATGATCCCTCAAAGGGAAATGCCGCGTCACCATTTCCTAGTGAGATTCCTATCGTGATCATCTACCTTGCGACACGACTCAAGGTTTCTTTCCTCACCCAGGCCCACATCTCAAAGGGAATGATGTCAAGCGGGTAGGAAAGGAAATGGGAGAAAGAGGAAACTCTCTACTCCTGTAAAGAGTTCAAGTCTCCAGAACTCACAGAGGCAATTCTACCTTGCCCTATAGGGCCGCTCTGAGTCGGAATCAACTTGCTGGCAGTGAGTTTGGTTTGGTTTGATTTGGTTTGGTTTCTGGTGAAAGGCATCAGGGAAACCCCGATTGAGCATGGCCTCAACCTACCACCTAGGATGTAATTTTGTTTTCACTACTGAATTTCCATCCTGGAGAAAGGCTGTCTTGAACTGACAGCTTAATTCCATCTCGTGGCTCTTTGGCACCAGGCAGATGAACCAAAAAGTGTAGTAACTGCTACCCTTAATCTTAGAATTTACAAAAGGTTTAAATGCCCAACGAGCCTTCTAAGCAATTACTAGCAGAGCCCTTTGGAGATTTCTATTCACAGTCCACTTAAGCCAGATAGATTTCATCCTAAATCATTTTCAAATACATATGTCCTACTTCTATAGTGGATGTTTCAACAAGATAATCACCGCCTCATAAGTGGAAGTGGAATTCCTGGCATAGTTCCTCGAGCTAGCTTTCCATTTGAGATTGAACAGAATTTTAGGATAAGTGATTTTGGCATGGTTCATGGGAAAGGGCTATTTCAGGAACTTTGCCGGCAAGAGCTCTTCAAAGCCATAAATTCTTTTTTTTTTTTGGTTAAAAAATTATTTTCAAAGAGAATTTTGCTCATAGTCGGAAATATCAATAATAATTAGTGATAATGCTCTGCTCACCTTGAATAATTAATTTGATTTCTCTTCTGCTTATTCCAACCTGGTTAACCCCTTCACACACATAAATACCAGAATCTTCAATCTTTGCAGACATCAAGGTGAAAGTAGAATTTTCAGAAAGAAGTTGTAGAGCCCCATTACTTAGTTGCTTGCTCCAACGGATCTTCGGAGTAGGAAGGCCATTGCTGAAGCAGGTCAAATTCACAAAACTACCTTCCTCCAGGGTGGAAGAGGGGCTAACTAGGATGGTTGTATCCTTTGGGGCAACTGAAAAGGTAAAGCCACTGGTTAGCTTAATACCTTGTACCCTGAGTTTCTAAGTGTTAATAATGTTGCAACAATTGGTTAGGGAGTCCGTAGATTACAATAGTTTATAAACTTTGATCACATCACCGTAGGAGGATTCTGTCCCTAGCTTACCATTTATATTAGTAGAACAATGGTGAGTAGGATACGCACGTCATACGTATTTTCCAATGGAAGTTAAGTATTTTCCAATGGAAGTTAAGTGCTATAGAAACGCCCTTGCGACTAAAGAATGAATGTTCAACAATTGTGTGTGTTGCTATCATGCTAAATTAGTCATGACCACAATCCCCCTTCTCTTCAAAGGGTGTGATCTCTTTTTCTACCCTAGGAATATGGGTTCAAGGAGCCTCTGACCCGGTGGGTTCCGTGTTGGATTGGTAACCAAGAGATCGAGGATTTGAACCCATCAGCTGCTCTTCAAGAGGAAGGTGTAGCGCAGTCTATACAGACTTGCCGCTTCCGAACCCGTGGAGCCATTCTACTCTGTGCTTTGGAGCTGCTAGTTGGAATCAAAGGAACAACAAACAGTAGGGTTTGGTTTGTTCTTGAGGCAAATCTGAGTTGGCCTCTTGACTTGCTTTGACCATAAAACAGGGGAGAAGTAACACGGTAGGACGTCCAAGCTAACTAAACCTCACAAAAGAAGCAATTTTCCGTACCAGCCCCTGGACACAAACACAGCCGTGGGGAGCAAATGCGAGTGTGTTTTCTTGAGGATGAGACAACATGTGGAGAAAGGAGGCGGGAACATTTCAAGCTAAGGCCTAATCACATGAATGGGGGCCATTTGGGACCAACCAGCCTTGAGTCAACCCGCTGACTGACTGAAAATGCATGAGTCAGTTCAGCCGGTACCATACTGAGAGCAGATAAACTGTCCAGTTGACCCTTTCTCAAATTGCCTACTCATACTCCTAAGTAAATAACAGGCTGTTATTTCACGTTTGGAGAGTTGTAATCATCATGATTTTGATATTTCATTTCTGTGTGTTTCTTTTCCCAGAGGTTTTGACTACGGACTGCCAAGCATGATCAAGAAATCCATATACATGGTAGGCACACTGCACATGTGCTTACCGTTAACATGAAGTGTCTTCGAACTCAGCCTTTGTTTGGGTTCAAACTCCAGTTCAGTAATATTTAACTTAGCCTTACAAACAAGAACGTTTCTGATGTCTTTGGTGGTGGGGATGAAGGTCACTTCCAAACGCTTAGTCTCCAGGGATTGTCGATTCATGTCTCCCCAAAAGTCTTTATACTTCATAGTACTCTTCCCCTTAAGTAATTCAATCTCCAAGCGGTCAAAAGGGTACACATCAGGAACCGTGCAGCTTACGGTGACAGGGTTTCCCATCACTAGCGCATCAGTCAACTCAATTTCTGGATCTCTAGGGAATGCTGCAAACATCAAGCAAAAATGATGCTTATCTGCGGCCTTCAAGGAAAAGTGAATCTAATCTGAATTAACTCCCACAGTTGTCCTCAAAATGACAGCTGTACCTCACCAGAAAAATCAATAGATAAGCAATATAAAGGTGATTATCGATATATAAGTAATGACATTAAATGTAAATGCTTATTAGTGATATTATATATAAATGATGCTAGGAATAAAAGAAATACCTAGTTCACCAAGTGATAAAGTCAAACAAACAAACCAAAGCCCTTGACATTGAGCTGCTTCTAACTCATAGGCACCCCAGGAGCTCAAGGGTGGCGGGGGTACTTGACTGACATCTTTACAGACAATCACTAGAGCTTTCTTTTGGGTGGGCTCACATTTCCAACCTTAAGGTTAGGAGTGAAGTGCGAACTGTTGGGACCACTCAGAGATCTAAGTTATAAACATGCTTCTTGCTTTCCTCTTTTCAGTAAAGCAGCCTCGCTGAGAAGCGTGGTCTGATCTTTTCTAAAACATTGCCAGCTTCTACCATCGTACTTAGCTAACTACATATGTATTTGAAATGCTTATAAAATTAACAGAGTATAAGGGTGCTAGTTTCTTATTATTCATCATCTCAGTCTTCCAAGCAGCCTGATAAAATTGGTAGTAATTAATTTACTTTACAGCTAGGAAAACAGAGCCCCACAGAAGATAAAGGACTGTAATCATGCATCACCCCTGGTTAGCCACTGAGTTAGATCAGAACCCATATTTCTCTGATCTCAGAGCCCACACTCAGATTCGCAGAGCTTTGCAGCCTCTCTGGATCAGATAAGACACACAGGACAGTCCTCATTTTAAGCACTTTCATTCCAAATGGTGATATTTTCCCAGAAAGCTTTAAATATTTCTCCAACCGTACTTTTAACTTGAAACTAAAAAGATGTATAAAAGACTTAGTTCATAAATAATGACATTTATAGCTAGCCCATGTAAATCAATAGATATTAAACTAATCTGGTTATTAAGAGTAAGAATAATGCTAACATTTTTTTTGCACCAAGCAAACTGCTGTTAAAGTGATACTTTCTCAAATTTTCCCAGATTGCACTAAGACTTCACTGCTGGTTCTCGTTGCTGTGGGGAATGTGCCTACATCAGCAGATCCTAGGGGCTGAGTAATATGATAAGGCAACAAAATCTACCCTTCTTCTGAGAGCTTCAAATCCTTATACAGACATACTCTAACTCATTCTGAGTGAAATCCTGATGGCTAACACAAGTCTGGGCAGGGTTTCTGGTGGAAAAATCTGTACAATATGTTTTCTTGGATTTTGCTGAGTGAAATAAAGCAGAATAACACTCTCAAAGAAATAGCTTTGTGGTTATTTTCCTTGTTTTGCTCTTCGCCCATTGCAAATGGAAGAACTCCAGCGGTGTCAAATTCTTAGAGACTTGAGGCTGTAAATGACTTTTACGAAGGTGACAAGAAAACAGCAACATATAGATTATAAATTTCCATGTATATCACTAGCAATATGGAGTCTTTAGAGCTTTTCACCTGAGCTGTTACGTTACCACTCACAACTCCATCCTAATGCCCTGTCTTCACATTTGGCCTTCGTCTGCACCTAATTGCCTCATTTCTTGTCCTGCCTGCAGCTTTCCGAATGAAGGTATTAGGTTCAGGCCTTACCCCAACTCAGACGAGAGAGCAGGCAGTCACTGTCCCATCCACTTATCTGCATGGAGGCTATTCCTTGAGTGAGTGTTTGTAGGGGATCTCTTTAGTGCTCAGGAATTTCCTACACAAACACACACACATCTTCCTTACTACGTCCTCTCACCCAATATGCACAAAGAAGGACCATTGGGGTGATCAACTGAATGACGAGCATATTGACAAGACATAAACTTAGGGTTGTAAATGCTGGGCATATATGCAGTATATAGTTAGGATTTAGGCTGGTTATGTTACTTCAGGCCATTCTGGTTCTGAGATTTAGGAACCGAGTTGCTGTGGTTAACAGCTACCATTGTGTTGGCCCCGAAGTCATGATGACCCCATGCGCAATGGAATCAGGACCCTTGTGGTCCATAGAGTTTTTCTAAAGTGGATCACCAGGCTTCTCTTCTTAGTCCAGCTTAGCCAGGGAGCTCCTGTTCCAGAGAAGCCTGTTCAGCACCAGGGAAACCTGCACTATAGCAACATCTCCACTGACAGCTGAGTGATCTACACAGGAGGGGCACTGCCTGGAATTAAATGTGTATGCCCACATAGAAAATGAGAACTCTACCCTGGAGACCTCACCACCCATCAGCAACCATACCCAATGCAGAATCCCCTTTCTCAACACCAGGATCGCATTGGCTATCACATCCTCTTTTTTTTTTCTAGCTGAACTTAAAAAGACAAACAAAAATTAAAAAGAATTCTGAGAAACACTTACAGTAGAGCTCCACCTGGATTCCTTTCTCCAGTTTCTTGTGCCCGCAGGTGACTGTACATAGGTAAGAGTGTTCATTCTCAAAGCTAACAGGACTCAGCGTCAGCGTGGACTTTGTCCCCTCACTTCTCACCTTCCCACTGAGCGGGCTGTCAATCTGGGTTCTCCAGGAGAAAGTTGGGGATTTGCAGCCTGTGACACTACACGTCAACACCACTGAGTCCCCAATCTGAGCAGCAATCCGGGACCCAGGGGAGACATCTACTGTAAACAATTTCTCTAGGAGAGGCAAGGAGAGGAAGAAAAGAAAAAGAAAAAAAGATGAATTTCTTTTTAAACCATACTTTAATTATGATTACCCCTCCCCACCCATCTCCCTCAAGCTAATATCTCTGCCAAGAAGAAATCACCTCTTTCCACCTTGGAACCAAGAGAAAGGAGGCCACATCTTTGAAGAATGAGCCTCATTCACCTAATAAAAGGAATGTAGATAGAAGTTTGTCAAAAGAGAAGTCGGCATCTGTTCCTAGCAATGATCCAGCCTCTTCTCGCATGTAGTTTATCAAGGCCTTATCATGGTGAAAATAACGCAAATAATGTAAGTGGTTCCAGCTTGTCAGATCTTGCACATACCACTTTACATATACAATTTCATCGAACCATCATAATCATTTGCTTGAATATATAATGTTATCTCTTTCAGGAAATTAAAGCTCAGAAATGTTAAATAGCTTCACAGAGCTTGCAAGTTGCAAAATTAAGACTTAAAGCCAGGGGAGTGTGATTTAAGGTCCAACGTTCGCAGCTACTAAGACAACTAACCAAGTCATTCTCAGATGGAGGAAAACCGGGGTCTAAGAGAGATGGTGAGGAGCTCTAGCGGCTCTGTTGAATATATGTTGGTCTGTTAACTATGAGTTCAGAGGTTCAAAACCACTGGACAATCCGCAGAAGGATGACGTTTTCTGGCCCCATAAAGATTTACAGTCTTAGGGGCCCAATCTAGGGTTGCAATTAGAATGGTTTCAACGGCAGTGGGTTGGGTTCTCTTTGTTTAAGAGAGCCGCAAGAAATGTCACAAAAGATGTCTTCAGCCTATAGGAGGGGACTTCAAAAATGTCTGGCAAAGATTCATTGTCTTTAAATTTCATTTTTCCATGAAGGTTTGAAACCTCCTCATATGTAAAACCTATAATAGACTAGCACTTAGGGCTTCCATCTGAACACTTGCAAAGCTACCCTTTGAAAGGCACGTGAAATAAGCTGAAAACAAGGTAAAAAGCATTAAAATGATAGACAAACTATCTCCAATATTTGTTTAATGCAACAGGAAAAGGCTTTAAAATTAATTCAGGGGCTGAAGGGCAAACTCCCAAGGCTCACATATCCAGGAAAGCTGTTTGGCTACAGGCCGATCCCCGCTGGGTGCATGGCGTCTTTCGGATGACTGCTGCTTCAGGGGAGAGGCATTCCAAACCTGGCTCTGTTCCCCTGAAGAAACGGCAAGTGACTGGCCAGTGCCAGAAGGGACAAATGAGACTCCACAGGAAATAAATAAAATCTTCCTTATTGTAAATGTCAGGCTGGGGGTAGAGGAAGGAAGTCTCAATAAATAAATAAGCCCAACACACGGGATTTTGCAAGGTTTGTGTCTGTGCCAGGAGAAGTTTTTTGGTTTGTTTGATTGGCTTGATTAATTGTGACATTGTCGTATCATTCAAATATGACTCTCCTCAAATTACCTCAATAAATTGATATGCTATTATATTTTGAAAGAGCGGGGTCATTCAGAAACTATAAGCCGAGTTTCCTAATGCTTTATATGTTGGGGTGTGAAAGGAAGGGTCTTATGAACAGCCAGCTTCCTGCTTGTGGACAGTTGGCAGATCACTTGTTCCTGTAGCTGCTTATTTTACAAGGTAAACTCGTGGCTCCTACAAGAGTGCTACTTGTAGTGAACTGAAAAGGGCACTTTGACAGTTCGATTCTCCCAATTCTATCTCAGAAGTTAAGGAGGTTACAAACCACTATGATATAAAATGCAAAGCAACCCTCTCCACTCTCCCACTCTAGAATGTATTTCCTTTCACCACTGAAATGGCAGGCAGTTTATTAGGGAGTGAAGCTATTCAGAATTTTTTGATCAGCTTTACTTCCTTTTATTAGTCTAATATCTTTCCCAGTCTCTTGGAAATGATAAATAACATTTCAGCTGAGTTAATTGACTAATAATGACCTTGGATCTTATTTTTTTAAGCAATCCAAGTTTAGCACTATGTTTAAACATTTTTAAACTTAAAAGCTCCACTTAAAAAAGTGCGTTACCTATATTTACAGTCTTTTTAATCCAGCAAATATTCACTGAGTACCAATTATAGGCCAGGAACTGTATGAGAACTCAAACATTAACACATACACACACACACACACACACACACACACAAACACACAGATCCTGGCTTGAAGGATTTTACTGTTCAATGAAAAGTACACTTACAAGAGTTATAGACATTAAAGGTAAGTACTCTCACATAAAAAATTCTGCAGTATCAGTAATATCAAATACTAGTCTATGAGTACATACATAGGCAGACATGCAAGCTGAACAGGTATGAATAGGCAAACAGGACTACACTCACAACAATATATAGATTTGGCAGAGGAAATTTCTACATGTATATTTGTATGTGCTATAAATATATCCATGTATGTAAGAGAGCAAACAGCGGCTACAGAAGTAAGAAAGCTTTTTAGTCATAACCAAGTGACTTGTGGATATGGGTCCTGGAGCATGGGGCCTTGGGACCACAGTCTTGTAGGACAGCTAAATCAATAGGCAGAACATAGTTCACAAAGACAATGGTCTACACTTTGTGGTGGTGAGGAGCAACTGGGGGCTTAAAAGCTAGTGGGCAACCATTGAAAAAGCAACTAGTGCTCTCTTCTGCCTAGAATAAAGAAAAATGAAGGCGACGAGAACTCAAGGAAACAATTAGTTCAAAGGGTTCATGGACCACTTGACCCACAGCCTGCACTACCCTGGCACCTAGCTATTACTACTGACTCTGGTCAGGTTCACAGAAGGTCTTAGACAGAATCGGGAGTGGAGAATAAAATTCAAAATCATAGAAAAGATAGGACTTGCTGGTTTTACAAAGACTAATGAAACCCCTGAGACCGTGGCCTTCAAACCTGGAAGGTGCACACCCCCAGGGACCACCTTGCCATCAAACAACAGACAAGTCTCCTAAGTGAATCATAACCCTGAAAGGGAATGCACTCCTACTAATAATCCACCGCTCAAGACCAAAGGACAGCATTTAGTGAAAACCAAAGCTCAGGTGGCTGCAAGGAGCAGGAAAGAGGGATGAACAGAAAGAGGATGCAAGGGAGGAACGGAAAAGATCACTGCTCCATTGAGGGACTTGCAAATTATTAGGAGACAAAGGGTGTATGAATTACTACATGGACAATTCATTTGTTCTGTAAACTTTCACTCAAACCACACTAATAAATTCAACATAGGTTATTTGGGGCACTTAACTAAACTATATTCAAAGTGTCTATTTATGTACTGGCTTTCTCTCCAAAAATGTTATCCCATCCCATGCAGGGCATGTGAGTTTCAGCATGATTTCCAGCACCAAGCACAATTCTTTGGTTCTTAAACGGGGCTCTGAATTGTGTTCCAATGAACAGAAATACATAGATATTTATAAGAAGAGTTGAGTGAACACCAAGGGAGGAATTTCGCCTTAGAGCATCTGGAATTGAAAGGCTGATATGAGCTTTCGCTTGAAGCCTGGGTGCAACTCTGCCAGGTCAAGGGAGAACAGGCAACTCTCACTGAAAGAACAGTATGCAGTGAGGCGTAGGGTCACCACGCAACTGCAAAGATAGTTTCTGACTAAACTGTGAAGAGTTTCATGTGACCATTTGAAGAAATGTTCATTTTAATGTATATGCAATTAAAGTTCGATTGGAGTCATAAAATGAGCCCTTTTTTGTTAAGTATCAGAACTCTGGCAGTAGTGCATAGCACTGATTATTTGGGAGATAGAATGAGAGCAGGGAGCCCATTTGAAGATAATTTGCTGCAGGCGAACACCATGTGGCTTTGTTTTGAAACGGGCCACTAATGAAATATTTGACCCCACCCAGATTATGAACTATACCTGGCCTCAGGTTTTAGGCACTTAATATAACTCTGGTGCAGGTCAATGAAATAGTGAGGTGGCAAGAATAATTTTTTGGCAAATATCACGTCTACACTATGTATGAGTTGCTATTAATCACGGTGGGATATAAAGGATTGGGGGGAGGGGATAGGTTGATTCAGGGGGATCGTTCGGAGGTAGAACCGATTCGACCATTTGGGATTAAAGCATGAATTTGGGAGTCACCAACAAGCGGTGGTTCCAATCTGGGGGTTTTGTCGTGCCAAGACAAGAAGAGCAGGGATGGAAACTTGATAACATGCTAAGGGGCTAGTGGGAGAGCATGAACCGTGAGGGACTGACACCCAAACCTGAACCAGACTCACTGCCCTGGGGTTTCTGAGTTGGTAAATCCTTACAGGAGCAAAAAAGCCTCATCTTTCCCCCATGGAGCAGCTGGTGGGTTTGAACTGCTGATCTTTGGGTTAGCAGCCCAACACCTAACGCACAGTGCAACCAGGGGTCTTGAAGGAACGATGAGAGAGGGCAAAGAATCAGAAAAGTAGATTCAAGTGGAAGCAATTACCATAGTGAAGTCATTTCACATTGCTCTAATACCAATGGCAGCATCTTTTCTCTTCCTGGTACAGAGTCTACCTACCTTGAACAATTAATTCCACTTCTTTTCTATTTCTCCCAATTAGATTAACCCCTTCACACACATAAATTCCAGAGTCTTCCATCCTCATGGCAATTAAGGTGAGAGTTGAATTCCCAGAAAGGAGCTGTAAGTTCCCATTATCTAACTTCTTGCTCCAGGAAACCTCTGGAGCCGGCAGCCCCTCGCTGAAACACTTCATGGTCACAGCGTCACCTTCTTGCAGGCTTGTTGAAGGGCTCACAGATATGACTGTATTCCTGGGTGAGACTGGAAAGGTAAGTCACAGTGTTAGCCATTGCGAAATATTTGTTTGATCCAACCAAATACATTTTTTTTCATTGTTTACTATGTGCTTCCAACAATTGGGTGAATTTGTGCTGCCAAATTAATATAAAGAATTGTTGAGTCATTAAAAATAGCCAAGTCAACTTTGAAGTAACTTGATTTATATTTTTGGATGCTTGGTGTTTTCTGATAGTCAACAATTCAGAAATTAAGATGAGCCTTCGGAGTTAGGTAATTCGATCTCCCACTTAAAGTAAGAATCCCATCCATCCTTGCTCTAAAGTGCTCATCCAAGTCAGTTCAGTTCTGACAGGGAGTGGCAACCATCACCGGACAAAGCCTGGAATGGGATCTTTGGGCAGTCTCACAGAGCGAGGGAGCATTCAAATCCCTACCTCTTTCCCACCTGGACGTGCATGTGGGGGGGTGTGCACATGTACATGCACATACACAGGCACACGCATGGAACAAATGTTGACCTCCTCAAAGCTCTCTAGCAGTGCAGCTAATAGTTCAAAGTATTTTATGAGAGTTTAAAAAACATGATTCAAAATGTTTTCTCGCTTGATCCTTCTTACTACAATCCAAGCAGGCAGTATTCCCCTTTTGTAGAAATGAAGACTTGGAGAAATTAAGCAAATTTATAGCTAGTGGAGCCAGAACTTACACTGTCTCTCAACCCAAATCTTGTGCTCTTTCGTTGGATTATGCAGATGATAAATATTATGTTCACACTGAATAAAAATGAAGTCGAGACTGTACGTATTTTCTTGTGATTAGTTGCTAAATGTATTGCTATTCAGCAGACTCTAACTTTGCATAAAGACTAGGCTACATCTACTCACTGTGGACTTGCAGTTCCTTCCTGGTCTCTCGCTCTGTGAGCACAGAATCTGTTCCGTCAATGTGTAATTTAGCTCGACACACAAGGATTTTTCCAATATCCTCGATGATAGGAGTAAAGGTTACTTCTAAACTCTTGGTTTCCAGGGACTTTCTCTCTGAATCCTCCAGAAATTCCTGATTCTTCACGAGCTGGTTGTTCTTCAGTAAATCTATCTCCAGCCTGTCGGATGGGTAAACATCAGGGACCAGACATTTCACTCTGACCGGCTTTCCGACCTCCAGTGGTCCACTCAAATGGATCTCTGGATCTTTAGGAAAAGCTGCAAAGACCAAATTAGTAGATGTAAGTGGGCTTTTTGCTCAGGTTAAATAAGATTCCTTACGGTTTAATGCAAAGCAAACCACGTCTAATGCTTTGGTCAGCACAGTTTTCGTGCTGCAGACTCCATTGTTGTAAACAGCCTTCCGTGGATTTAGATGGGCTCAAAAAGCAAGTCTTGCAATCAGCCATTTTGGGGGAGGGCTCTATTCCCATGTGTACTGGTTCCCAAGGTTGCCCAACTAGTTAAGCACTTGACTACGAACCAAAAGGTTGGTTCTTGGAACCCATCAAAACAGTGCCTCAGAAGAAGGTCCGAGCGCTGCTACGGAAAGGGCACATCTCGGGCAAACCCTGTGGAGCACAGGAGTCAGAACTGACTAGACGGGCAAGTGGCCTAGTTTTGGTTTTGCTGTTTGTGCGTTGAGGGGTGTATCAAAGAAGAGACACAAAAGCCATGCTTTTCGAATACTTATATGGGCCAGCCACAGATTTTGTTTTACCTCCTCAATAGTCCCCAAAAGACTGAGATTACTTTTCAGAGATTGAAAACACGGGGATTCCGTAGATTTGGGGTCACACAGGCAGGGAGAGCTGGGATTGCTACAACTTGGGGAGGCTGTTGCAGGCTCATTTTCCTGTTTGAATCAGAGCAGATATATTTCTATTTCACAGATCAGGAATCTGGAGCTCAGAATGGCATCACAAAGAGTAGCTATTAAATAAGTTATCCTAAGCAAAGAAAGAACAACTTTAAATTATTGGCTTCTAAGAATTTTACCTCTGACAGAAACTCGCCATCCAGAAAGGAACTCTTGAGCAATCTTAAATTCTAGAAGGCAGCTTTGCAGTCTGAATGCCTGCCTGACTGTCCCAACCGCTGTTCCCTTTGGACCTTCTAGTTCTGTGGCAGTCGGCTGTGACCTCCCAGGAGGCATCTACCACAGCATCACAAACCACCGCGATGCTAACACAGAGCCTGGATTCAGGGCCTTATGTAGTAAAAAGACTAGAAGGGCCTCAACTCTAAAGAATAATAGAATCAAATGTGGCGGGGAAGCAGGGTTATTCAACACATAATGAGAAACAGAAATTCTTGAAGAAAAACCATAGGCAACATAATTAAATCCAGAAGGGTCTTTTCTTTTTCACAACTTCAACTGTTTTTTGGTTTGGTTATTTGTGGGCAGTGGCGGAGGATTGCCAGGGCTGCTGCTATTGAAAGAACACAGTATTCTTCCCTTTTTCAACTAGAAATTTCGGACCCTCATGTGCTGGAAGAACTGTGCCTGTAGCCCGCACAGCTTGACGTCAGGTAATATAAGAACTTGCTACTTCTCCTATATTTACATAAAGGGGCCTTTCAGGGGGCTCTTGGCAACTACAACGTGTGCATGCAGGACCAGGATAATTGAAAGCAGCCGCACAGGCAGTTGCTTGTGAAGCATGAGCAGTACATAGGACTTGCTGAAGAATCATGTATGATGAATGGGAAAAGTTGGTTGGGCTCCAGTACAGGAGAAAAGAATCAACAGAATGATAAGGTAATCAAATGAGGTTTCTATGAGAAAAGAATCAACATAATTATAAGGTAATCAAGTGAGGCTTTTTAAGAGGAAATGACCGTACATGGATATGACTTTTTGTTTGTTTGTTTTTAAAAAGAGTGGTCATCAGCATCTAAAGTAGGTGATTTCTTTCAGGTTAGCATTTACTCCACTTGCTAACTCGGTGTTGCTGAGTTGAGCCTGGATCAAGAAGCATTTGGGTAAGCTAAACTACTAAATTAGAATAAACTAAGGGGACTCATGTAGGAGATAAATCTAACTCATTCTATAAATAAATATTCGTGAGATGCATCATTAAAGCTAATTGCCACTGAAAGTAAATAAATGAATCCTAACTTTATCTAGACCGAAGTCAAATAAGTGAAATGTTTGCAGATGTCTTTCTCCATTCTAGGGGGAAAGCTGCATTATAGATCTTCTATTTAATATTTAAACTCATTTTAAACACCAAATTGCCTAAAAATAAATCAATGGAAAGCCCCTAAAGGATGAACTGCACAAATCGTGGCTACACACAACCAAAGGAAAATAGGGTACACTTTTTTCCAAAAAGAAAGAATTCTAAAGCTTTTAATTCACTGACAAGAAACCCAGAGCTTCTCAGAGGTTGTCTGGCGGCCATGAACACCATGTGTGTGGCAAAGTTCTCGTGCTTGACGTGGCTGCCTCTAGCTTCCTTGGTGCTGCATGGCCTCTGATCAAACATGTGATCGTGAGTATCCACTTTCACAAATACTAACAATCATCATCTTAAAGCAAAGTAGAGAGCAACGATTCTCTGAAACACTTACAGTAGATTTCCACCTCGATCCCCTTCTCCTCTTTCCCAGAACTGCACGAAGCTGTGCACAGGTACGAATGCTCGTTGTCGAAGGTAACGGGTGCCATGGTCAGGGTGGACTTGGTTCCCTCGTTCCTGACCTTCCCATTCAGCGGACTGTCTATCTGGGTCCTCCAAGAGAAAGACGGGCTGTCGCAGCCATCAGCGCTGCAAGTCAGTGAGACTGAGTCACCAATCTGAGCAAGAATTTTGTCCTCCGGAGAGATGTCGATTTTAAAAGCCTGAGCTGCCAAGGCAAAAGGAGAAAAAGCAAACTTACCACTGGTTGATTTGAGATTCTGCTCTCACTCTCTGCTCAGTTTCAGCATAATGTCCCAAATACAATGAGCCGGATCTCTTTGCTAAACCGATTCAGACTAATGGCAAAGCAGCCAGAAGTTCACTTTGCCAAAGGGAGTGTTGAAATCATTTGCACTTAGATTTCTCAGTTATGCGCTTGACATCTATTTATCAGATTTGTTTCTTATGTGCTACGTTTGAGCTGTGTTTATTAATCTCCCCAGTAGGCAATTTTCTAAGCAAGCTGTGCTAACTTTGTTTTACAGCAATTATGTGTGCGTGTGTGCGTGCGTGTGTGTGTGTGTGTGTGTGTGTGTGTGTGCAGCTCCTACCAACACCATACAGTGGTGTGTAGCAAAACAATAGCACATTGAAAACTTAGGTTAAATTCAGTTTCCCCCTGTTTAAAAACTCGAGTTAGTGCCTGGCTTCACTCCTGAAGCCAAAGTCAGGGCTAAAACGGAATGTTAGTCACCGAAGCGGATCAAGAAGAGACACTTACAAGCTGCAAACAGCGTCCAAAGCATACTTGAAGCGCCCAAGATCAGGACCATCTCCGCATGCATTTTAAGCTGCTCCCTGTGTGAAGAGAAAATAATGCTTCCAGGATCCCACTTTCTGTCCCACCTGAACCGCCTGGGCAGAGTGTGCAGCTCCTGAAGCCAGTGAGGCTCAGCGAGGAGTGAAATACAAAGTCTGCTCTTTATAAAGGGCCTTGCTGCAGGGGCGGAGGGAAATCCCTTCAAGGGGAAACCCGAGGCAGAGCCAGGGAAAAAAATGTTCATTGACACCCAGCCAAGTCCCGGCATTAACCCTCTCAGAACTGAAACAACTTTCTCTGCCCTGGGAAAAGAAAACCCGTACAAGGCTATCAAATTCCAACTTTTATTATTTATTTACTTTTTTTTCCTAGGAGTTGACTTTCAGTCCCAAAATGTAGTTATCTATTCTAGAAAGACATGAAGGGCGTACTGATGGCACAACTTGGCTGTATGACCCATAGAAAGCTTTTCAGAAAAAGGAGACAAAATGGTCAGTTAAACTCAAGATTTTGAAATGGTTAATAAGTTTGTCACCTGGTTGATTTTTTTGGTTCCTCAGGAAGACCTGTTTGCAATTCTGAAATAGAGGTGAATTTTTTTTCTTATAAGAAAAAGAAAGCAAAGTCCTTCCTTTGGTGAGTCATTTTCAAAAAGGCTGGCAGTGTGACTTCTTAGTTTTATACAGCTTATTCATAAATATAATTCTTTTGACAATAGACATCCGTGTTTTGAAATGATATTCTTGACTGGAGAATAAAGGAATATAACTGAATTTCCCTGCCAAAACAAGGGGATCCGTTTTCCTCTCTGTTTCAGACAAGTGCCAGGCCCCTGGTTCCAGCGCTGGAGAATTGGATGTCTTTTGCAGATTCAAATGCAAATGGGAAGAATTCAACTGCAGTGGTAAATCTCTTCAGCTCTCAGGACAAACTCCGTTAAAGCATGTTAAAAGCATAATTGTGCAATATGGGTGGGAATGAAGGCCAATTTTATGTTATCTCCATTCCACCCTTACCCATTTCTCTCTTACTCCCAACCCCAAGAAATGGCTTTTTAAACAGCGCAAGAGGCACTGTTAGCTGATAGCCCAACGCCTTGCAAAATGCTTGCCTATCAAAAAGAAACCGGATCAGCCACTTCCTTGTATTATACTTGCTTATGTCTTTCTCTGCCTCCAGATCATCAGTTCCTTTCCAGGCAGGGACACATTCTTGTTCATTGTGGTATCCAACTGTCACTTTCTGTTATCGACCGCACCATTTAACACGTGCAAATAATCAATATTATAAATGTAAGTTTTAGAAAGGAAACCTCCAAAATATTAGCAACAGTGTATAAATGTTGCATGAGAAAATGCTAAGTTCTACAAAAAAGTACCAAAGCTTATCTATTTATTAAATGATAGCGATTATTCTCCAAAAGGAGCCCTGGTGGGATAGTCCTTACAGGTTGGGCTGTGCCTCTCAAAGTCAGCAGTTCAATCCCACCAGCCACTCTGTGGGAGGAAGACGGGGCTTCTCCTCCCATAAAGAGCGGCAGTCTCAGAAGCACAGGGGCGGTTCTGCCCTTTCCAGTGGGGTCGCCGGGAGTCAGCATCGGCCGGAGGAAGCTTGGTTTGGGGTTCATTGCTTTCCAGGCACTGTTTCAAGGACAGAGAAAAACCTCCTCTTAAGACCCCACAGTCTCATGAATATGGGAATAGCACTCACTATGCAACAAAGGTCTCGTGCTTCTTGATACCTCCCCCCCCACCCCAAAAGGAGCCCTGGCGGCATAGTCGTTACACATTTGACTACAAGGTCGAAACCACCAAAGCTCCCCGGGAGGAAGGCTGAGCTTTCTACTCCCATGAACAGTTCCAGTGCCAGAGACTCGCAGGGGCTGCTGAGAGTCAGCAGTAACGCGATGACAGGGAGGGTGATTTCTCGGCAGTACAACAAAAGCTCCCCTGAACTCAGGTTGGAAATTCACAACTCTCCTTACTTGGCTAGAGAGGCCCCTGGATCTCCCTTGGGACGTTGCTGTGTCTCATTCTGTCCTTGGCGAAAAAGAAAAAGAAGTGGGACAAACTCTTCTAGGACTGTGGTAAGTGCGACTTCACCTACCAGACACCCACCGGGGAATCAGAAAAGTGGTTCAGTGGAGAATTAGTTAACTGGTCAAAAACCAACTGCGGGTTCTGGATAATGCTGGCATCATGGTAGAGGATTCTCAGCACCATTTCTGTTGAATGCTTGCCTTCAGAACAGCTGGGACAGAGCTTATGGAATTGTTTGGGTTGTGCTTTTGTTTTATCCTTCAGTTATGAGGCTTATGAGGGGCCTTCAAGAAGTTTGTGGAATTTTTTCATTATCTTTTCATTTAATGTTCCCAAGAGCTTTTTGAAACCTCCTGGTATTACCGGACATGAGGAACTATAATCGAGTTTCAGGAACTCTCAGGATCCAGCTCTTCAGGCAGGATGACCGTCATTCTTCTGTGCCCACAGGCACACCTCTCTCTGGCCCTGCCCCTCAGGGACTCTTTGGCTTCTGCTCTACCGTGAACAAATGTTATAAAGTTCTTTCAGCTCTGCTGATAGTGCCCCTACGGTCGCCATTCCACCAGCGAGGGTCCTGCCTGAAGGCACTGATCGTTCTTGCTTCCTGGCCTGAGAAGCTTACCACTTTGTTTCATGCCACTCTCTGGTGTCGGCTGCTCCTGCTACTCTGCCATTTCTTCTCCCCCTCTCATCATCTCTGATGTCACATCTCTCTGTAGCCTGGATCTAGGAGATTCAGGATCGGGAACTTAGGCTACACCCGACTCCTGACTCTTTTTTTCCTTTCTTTTGTGGCCCCCTATGTGCTCCACCAAATTCATGGATATATTTACAGTATACAGCGAACCCTCGTTTATCGCGGTTAATCGGTTCTAGACCCTACCGTGATAAATGAAATTCCGTGAAGTAGGATTCCTTATTTGTAAATCAAATATTTTCATAGTTAGAGCATAGAGGACATGAAAAAACACCCTTTAGTCACCATTACACTCGTATTACCCAATTTATTAAACGAAAAAGGGAAAATACAGTAAAACATTTTGGACGTTACAATTATCATTTATTATTTATTATATTATTTATGGCACCAAGCGTGTACAGTATGAGCCAATCAGTGGCAGTAATGACAGAACATGCGCTGTTACGCAAAAACCGCGATAGAGTGAAGCCGCGGAAGTCGAAGCGCGAAGTGGCGAGGGTTCACTGTATTTACAGATTATTACATGGACATGTATAAACTGACTCTGCCAACCCTCCATACACTGTTGTTGTGAGATGCCATCGGGTCAGTTCTGACTCACAGCAACCTGGTACACAACAGAGTGAACACTGCCCAGTCTGACACCCTCCCCCCACCCCATCCCTGGCTCTAATACTTGAGCCCATTGCTGGAACTACTGCATGAATCCATTTTGTCACGGCCCTGCTTCTCTTTCACTGCCCTTCGACTGTCCCAAGCACGGTGTCCTTCTGGAGGGGCTCTCTGGACAACATGTTCAAAGCGCATGACATGAAGTCTTCCCTAAGGAGCATTCTGGCTTTACTGATTCGAAGACACATTTGTTCGTTCTCCTGGAATTCCATGGCACTTTCGACATTCTTCTCCAGGCCATAATTCAAATCTATCAGTTCTTCTCCAGTCTTCCTTATTCAGTGTCCAACTTTAACATGCACCTGAGGCAGTTGAAAATACCATGACGTGGGTGGGGCGCACCTTAGTTCTCAAAGTAATATCCTTGCTTTTCAACGTTCTAAAGACATCTCGAGCAGCAGATTTCCCCATTGCAATGTGTCCTTTGATCTCCCGATTGATGATTCTAGGAGCATTAATTATGGACTCAAGCAAGACAGATCCTTGACCACTTCAGTCTTCTCCCCCTTATCCTGTTGCCTATTGGTCTAGTTGTGAGGATTTGTAATCCATGCCTAAGGCTGCAATCCATGATCTTCATAAGCAAGTGCTTCAAATCCTCCTCATCTTCAGCAAGCAAGGTTGTGTCATCTATAGATCTCAGGTTACTAATAAGCCTTCCTCCAATCTTGATACTGCATTCTTCTTCAGATAATCCTGTTTCTTGGATTATTTGCTCAGCATACAGATTGAATAAATACGGTGAGAGGATACAACCCTGATGCACACCTTTTCTAATTTTAAGCCTTACAGTATTCCTTTATTCTGTGTTCATCACCCCCTATGTTCAAGTTCTGCATGGGCACAATGAGGGTTACAGAATTCCCATTCTTCTCAAGGCTATCCGTAGTATGCTATGCTCCACTCAGTCAAATGCCTTGGCATAGTCAATAAAGCACAAATAAACACCTTTCAGGTATTCTCTGCTTTCAGCCAAGATCCTTCAGAAATCAATGATGAAATCCCATATTCTATGTCTTCTAAATCCAGCCTGAACCTCTGACAGCTTCCCGTCAATGTATTGTTGCAATTGTCATTAGATGACCCTCAGCAACATTTTCTTTGCATGCAATATTAGCGATATTGTTCTATAATCTTTTAGCTCTATGTTGGATCCCCTTTTTATAATGGGTACAAATATGGATCTCTTCCAGTAAGTTAGCCCAATTACTTGTATTCCAAATTGGAACATTTCAGTTGGTATTCCATCAATTCCTGTAGCCTTGTCTTTGGCCAATGCTTTCAATAAGCATTGAACTTCTTCCTTCAGCACCATTGGTTCTCGCTCATATGCTCCTTCATGAAATGGTAGCGTGTGGACCAGTTCTTTTTGTTTCAGTGACTGTGCATTATTTTAATCTTTTAGTGCTTCCTGCATCATTCAATAATTTACCCAGAGACTCTTTCAAGATTGCAACCCCAGCCTTGAGTTCTTTCAGCGGGAGATTTGCTGAGTGTGTTCTTCCCTTTGGTTTTCTAACTCAAGGTCTTTTCACATTTAATTGCAATATTTTACTTTGTCTTTTTGAACTACCCTTTGAAGTTTTCTGTTCAGCTCTTTTATTTCATAATTTCTTTAATGTGCCTGTTACTCGACAATTAAGAGCAAGTTTCAGTCTCCTCTGACGTTCCTACTCATCTTTTCTTTCCTTCCTGTCTTTTTAATGACCTTGTGCTTTCTTC